AAGATTCAACTTTACTCCCGGTTACACTACGCCAGATCCTCACACCTCTGACGGGATACCTGTGACGGGCAAACGAATTGGTCAGTAGTGACCATTACCTTTGACGGGTTATACGGGATGCAGTCACCGGTGAGGCATCTGGCCGCGGCCCGTCACAAGTATCCCCTCACCTGTGACGGTCCGAAAGGAAAACCCGTCAGAGGTATACCAGTGACGAGTTTTTCATCCAACCCGTCACTGGTATCCCCTCACCTGTGACGGGCCAATACATTAGAAGCCGTCAGAGGTGATGGGCCGCCACCTGTGACGGCTTTAATTTCTGGCCCGTCACAGGTGAGATAATACCAGTGACGGGCCGTTGAATACAAGCCCGTCAAAGGTATGAGCAATACCTTTGACGGGCTTTTTTTATCTAACCCGTTTGAGGTGTGTTGACTCTATAAATACCCCCAAACTGCCAACTGCTTTCCATCCCGACCATTGTACTGCTCACACATCGGTTGGGAGGGCAAGGGGGGCGATTTTTTTGCTAAAATTCAAGGTAAAAAACACATTATTCTCCATTCATTCTCAACATATCGATCATCATTTATTTTTCTTCGTATGTTGTTGATTTCAGATGGATCGTAGATGGATGTACTATGCGCATCGTTCGTCTACCGAGTATAGAGAGGGGGTCACTGAATTTGTCACATTTGCGGATAATGACAGAAAAAGTAGGATGAGCATGCACATGTTGTGCCCATGTAGGGACTGTAAGAATGAACAGATGATCGAAGACAAGGATGAAGTGCATGCTCATTTGATAATGAATGGATTCATGAAGAAATATACCTGCTGGACCAAGCATGGAGAGCAAGAGGCGCCTGATGTCGCAGCTGAAGAAGTGTTGGATCAGGATGTAGAGAACACCGCCGCAGCTCGAGAAGGCATGTTCGTACCTTCTCCTTTAGGTGGAGAGACCATAGATTTAGACACTCAATGTCTATCTACAATGTTGCATGACATTGAAGACGCAGAGGACAACGACAGAGATTATGAGAAGTTTAGTAAGTTGGTGGAAGATTGCCAGATGCCGTTGTATGATGGATGCAAGTCGAAGCACAGCAAGTTGTCATGCGTGTTGGAACTCATGAAGCTTAAGGCTAGTAATGGCTGGTCGGACAAGAGTTTTACAGAACTCCTTGAGCTGTTAAAGGATCTGTTGCCAGAGGGGAACAATTTACCTCAGACGACATATGAAGCGAAGCAAGTATTATGTCCGTTGGGCCTGGAGGTCAGAAGAATTCATGCATGTCCGAACGACTGCATTTTGTATTACAAGGAATACGCTGACTTGGATGTCTGCCCTATCTGTGGGGCATCAAGATACAAACGAGCAAAGAGTGAAGGTGAAGGAAGTAAGTCAAAGAGGGGAGGCCCAGCAAAGGTGGTGTGGTATCTCCCAATTGCGGAGCGCATGAAGAGAATGTTTGCGAACAAGGAACAAGCTAAGCTTGTGCGCTGGCATGCCGAAGAACGGAAAGTCGATACTATGCTGAGGCACCCAGCAGATTCAGTACAGTGGAGGACAATCGATAGGATTTACCAGGAATTCTCAAATGACCCAAGAAACATGCGTTTCGCAATGTGTACGGACGGCATTAATCCTTTTGGTGATTTGAGCAGTCGTCACAGTACATGGCCAGTTCTGCTTGTTAACTATAACCTTCCTCTCTGGTTGTGTTTCAAAAGAAAGTACATTATGCTTGCCATGCTCATTCAAGGACCGAGACAACCTGGCAACGATATCGATGTGTTCCTTGAACCGATAATCGATGACTTCGAAAGGCTATGGAATGAGGGCACACGAACATGGGACGCATATGCACAAGAGTATTTCAACCTCCATGCGATGCTGTTTTGTACCATCAACGATTATCCGGCCCTTGGCAACCTTTCTGGCCAAACTGTGAAAGGGAAATGGGCGTGTTCGGAGTGTATGGAGGAAACAAGAAGCAAATGGTTGAAGCATTCACACAAGACGGTCTACATGGGTCACAGGAGATTTCTCCCAAGGTATCACCCGTATAGGAATATGAGAAAGAATTTCAATGGACACAGAGATACAGCCGGACCCCCGACAGAGCTAACAGGGACAGAGGTGCACAACTTAGTGATGGGAATAACCAACGAGTTTGGAAAAAAGAGGAAAGTTGGAAAGCGAAAAGAGAAGAGCACATCGAAGGAAAAAACAGAGGAGCATGTGGAAAAACAAAAGACAAAAGAGAGGAGCATGTGGAAAAAGAAGTCAATATTTTGGAGACTACCATACTGGAAGGATCTTGAAGTTCGCCACTGCATAGATTTGATGCATGTCGAGAAGAATGTATGCGAGAGTTTAATGGGATTACTGCTTAACCCAGGTACTACAAAGGATGGTCTCAACGCCCGACGAGATCTGGAAGATATGGGTGTTCGGTCGGAGCTACATCCCATAACCACGGAATCCGGCAGGGTTTACCTTCCTCCAGCCTGCTACACTCTCTCGAAAGAAGAGAAGATTGATTTGCTAACATGTTTGAGTGGTATAAAGGTTCCATCTGGTTACTCATCAAGAATCAGTAGGCTTGTTTCACTGCAAGATCTTAAGTTGGTTGGAATGAAGTCGCATGATTACCACGTTCTTATCACACAGCTGTTGCCCGTTGCAATAAGGAATATTTTGCCTCCTAAGGTGCGACACACGATCCAGCGGTTGTGTTCCTTCTTCCATGCAATCGGCCAGAAGATCATTGACCCCGAGGGACTAGATGAACTACAGGCAGAACTTGTGAGAACCCTATGTCATCTTGAGATGTACTTTCCTCCAACTTTCTTTGACATAATGGAACATCTTCCGGTGCACCTTGTGAGGCAAACAAAGTGCTGTGGTCCAGCATTCATGACGCAGATGTATCCTTGCGAAAGGTACCTGGGGATCCTTAAGGGTTATGTACGGAACCGTTCACACCCTGAGGGGAGTATCATCGAGAGTTACACCACCGAAGAGGCCATCGAATTTTGTGTGGACTACATGTCAGAAACATCTTCAATTGGATTACCACGATCTCATCACGAAGGGAGGCTTGACGGTGTTGGTACTGTAGGAAGAAAGACTATTAGGTTGGATCGGAAGGTGTACGATAAAGCTCATTTCACGGTACTACAGCATATGACTGAGGTGGTGCCGTACGTTGACGAACACCTTGCAGTTATCCGACAAGAGAACCCAGGCCGATCAGAGAGTTGGGTCAGGAATAAGCACATGTCTTCTTTCAACGAGTGGCTGAAGAACCGAATTGCCAGGTTGCAGAACTTGTCTAGTGAAACACTTCAGTGCTTGTCACAGGGTCCTGAATGGAGTGCCACCACCTGGCAAGGATATGACATAAATGGATACACCTTTCACACGGTAAAGCAAGACAGCAAATGCACAGTGCAGAACAGTGGGTTACGCATCGAGGCTACTAGTGACGGTGGTCGTCGTGATCAATACTATGGTAAAGTTGAGCAAATATTGGAGCTAGATTACTTGAAGTTCAAAATCCCGTTGTTTCGTTGTCGATGGGTCGATCTTCGCAATGTAAAAGTTGACAATGAAGGTTTCACCACTGTCAACTTGGCTAACAACGCGTACAAGGATGAACCGTTCGTTCTCGCCAAACAAGTTGTTCAAGTGTTCTACATAGTTGACCCGTGTAACAAGAAACTACATGTTGTTCGTGAAGGGAAAAGGAGAATTGTTGGATTGGACAACATTGCAGACGAGGATGATTACAACCAGCACGTCCACGGCATAGGTCAAGAAATACCTCTAGAAGAGGAGGAAGAAGAAGATGAAGTTCAATATGCACGTGTCGACCATGAGGAAGGATTATTTTTGTAATTTATGTACGTAGTTTATGTCTACATGTCTGTTATCTGTATGACTCTAATATGTTCGCAATGATCAATAGTATATTGCTTATGAAATAGTCAAATAAAATAATTAAGTAAAGCACCCACTAGAAGTGAATTAAAATAATTAAGCAAGTATAAGCATTGGAACTAAAATAATTAAAGTAGTATAATAATGAAGTGCAATTACAACTGTTAGTGAAATAAAATAATTAAGTATAAAAAAATATGTAGTTTATGTGAAAATATGTTAAGGAAAATAAAAGAACTAAGTGAAATAAAATTGCTCTAGGCAAACTCACCTGTGACGGGCTCTATCTGTAGGGCCGTCACAGGTGACCTCACCTGTGACGGCCCAGAGTGTTGGGCCCGTCACAGGTGGTATTACCTGTGACGGCTCCACGGTTGGAGCCCGTCACAGGTGAGGCCACCTGTGACGGCCACATAGTTGGCGCCCGTCACAGGTTCATGTTCCGTTGTGCGAGCTCTGATCCGGTTCATGTTCCGTGCACTGGAAGCGTGGTCCCGCACACAGTACCAGAAGGACGGCTTGTGAGGCGACGTTAACAGCGTTAACGGATGTGAGAAGTTGCCGTTGCGCCTCGGCTTTTCCGTCAGAGTCAGGGCATCCAATGCTCTCGATCCCTCTTTCTTCCTCCTCTCGCTGTTGCTTCCGCGGTCGTCGATGCGACGCAGGCCTGGCGGAGAATCCCTCTTTCTTCCCCTCCGCTGCAGGCTCCCGTCCTCCCCTTTCGACTGTGGCTTGCAGGCCCGTGCCCCCCCCCCCAATCGATTCTCGTCCGCGCGTCGTCTTGCGGCAGCGGTCGGTTCAAGGTGCTCAAAATCGGGGGGAAGTGGAAGAGCTCCACGCCTGTCGAGCTGTCTGCGTCGTCCTCGAGGGGAGTAAAAGCTGGCCGGCGTGCTCGCTGTGAAGCAGCAAGCAGTCTGGCTGCCTGTGTGCTCGTCCTCTCTGCCTCTCGGGTCAGACAGTGCTGGCCTGAAGAGTCTCATCAAGGCATCCAAGCTGGCGGAGTTGAGGAGTCTCTATTTCAGGCTGAGCGTGTGCGTGGTCCGATGGAGACGACAGCGAAGAAGCGGAAGCGAGAGCGGGATCTATTGTCGATCCAAGAGGAGGGGACGATTGTTCAATCCCCTCAAACAGGGGAGATCTCTGTCCGCGGCGCCGATCTGGAGTCCGGCGAGGACTCCTCCGACTCTGTCACCTCCGACGCTGGCAGCGCCAAGGCTGCTCCCGACGACGTGCTTCATATCGCGCATGCCCTCTGCAAAGTTTGCGCCAAGTCTCCTAGAGCCGTCATCGACTTTGTTCGAAGAGTGAGCCCTGCCACCGTCGGCCGTTCGATTGATTGGGACGTCGTCCGCGAGGAAGAGTCATCTAAGGTATTGGTTTGTATTAATTTGTTCATTTCCGATTCAATTTTATTTGACTTGCACGGAGTAGATGGGCGATGGCCGTAGCCGGTGGACCGATATGGAGGTTCGTGTGTTTCTTGAGAGCTGCTTGGAGGAGATGGCAGCGTTCACCATCACCTCCAACTCCCCCAAGCCGCAGGCATGGCAGAACCTAATACACAAGATGTACACCAAGTGCAAGAAGAAGGTGAACAAGGCTCAATTGGAGTACATTTGGGGGCAGTGTAAGAAGCGGTACAACAGGTGGGTGTGGCTAGAATCGCATGCAAGCGGGCTGGGTCGTGATCCCCATACATCAGCCATTGTTGCCGATGATGAGTGGTGGGAAAGCAAGAATGCGGTACGTACACTTGACCATAAATATTTTGAACCAACAATTTTGCTTACAATTGGTATTATCTGAAATTTAGTACATGCATGCAATTATAAATACAGTTTTGTGAGGTGTAATAATTTTTTTGTTCAAATTGTGTGTGCCAACAAATGACTAGCTGCAGTAAAATGGAAGGATTGTGATCACATATGTTTCATAGTTGTTACTGTCATGTCGTTTTTAGTAATGTGTGCCATTCCCTTGTATTTAAGTTAACAAAATGATGTTTAGGAAAGATCTATATGTAGTGTATATGTAGTGTATCCGTTTAGCATTATTTTGCAGGAATAGTGATTATGTGTTAAAACTCATGTAGAAATGTTGTAAACAATAAACAATGGTTCTTGGATTGTACTGTACAACTAGAATGGGCATCCCAATTTTGGGGTGCCTTATTCTGAAGCAGCAGATTTTGCATGTAGAATGTGACATGTGAGTTGATACTTCAGATGCTGTATCACAGCATATGCTTGTGTTGAACATTATTTCTGTTTTCTGAACTGGTTAGCACTTACTTCATTTGTCCCAAAATATAAGGGGTTTTGGACGGAGGGGACATTTCCTAGTGTAACGAATTTGGAGTGTTCCATCCGTACAAAATTTCTTATATTTTGGGACAGATGAGTATATCGGTAGATCCTATATTAGGGCTCTGTTCGGGAGGAGTCCTCCCCGGCACGCAAAATGAAGTCTATTATTACATGATTAATTGAGTATTTGTTATTTTTTTTAAAAAATGGATTAATATGATTTTTTAAAGTAACTTTCGTATAGAATTTTTTTACAAAAAACATACTGTTTAGCAGTTTGAAAAGCGTACGCGTGAAAAAGAGGGAGATCACAAACATACTGTTTAGGTTTGGTGTTATGATGTTAAGTTTGAGCATAATAATGATATTCTGTCCTAAGAGTTTTGACTCCAGTGTAACCATCTGTACAAAGTTCAACTGAGTTCAGATGTATGAATCATTGAAACTTGAACCAGTACATTTTAAAATTTTCCAGAAACACAGCATTAGCCGTGTATTACTGTCAAATTTGTTACAGGGTTCACACAAAACTAGACGCAAACAGGGCAGTAACTAGTACTACGAAAAATCTCTCTAAATCTGTTATTTTGACCAAATCCTAAGGTCTGCGCATACTAGGGTGCACACAGTACGGACTAGCTGATACAAGTACAACATGATGCCAGAATGTATGATGCATGCAATTATAAATACAGTTTTGTGAGGTGTAATAATTTTTTTGTTCAAATTGTGTGTGCCAACAAATGACTAGCTGCAGTAAAATGGAAGGATTGTGATCACATATGTTTCATAGTTGTTACTGTCATGTCGTTTTTAGTAATGTGTGCCATTCCCTTGTATTTAAGTTAACAAAATGATGTTTAGGAAAGATCTATATGTAGTGTATATGTAGTGTATCAGTAAATTAGGAAAGATCTTGTACAAGTCATTTAGGAACATGTTAATACATATTCAACTAGCTGTACACACCTTCTTTGTGATGTATATAGAGAGAATGAACAAAAATGTGCTCATCTACAAAGAATATAATATATGCAGTTTATCTTATGTTTACAATGTTCAAACTATCTTTCTTTCATTCTGTCAGATGTGTGGCCCATTGTAACATGTACTCCTGATTATATTTGATAACTTGGTACCAATGTGCACATTTACTGCCAGCATTTTAGTAGTAATGCACATTGGACTGCACATATTCATTATGTTCAATGTTTGCACAAGCCTAATGCACTTGCCTTGTACTAACTTATTTTTACTGTCTACTTATGTTGCAGCAAAATAAAGGTGTCTTAAGCTTCAGGAATGATCCTCTGAAGCACATTGACCTTCACCACGCGGTATTCAGTGGGCACACAGTTGTCGGAAACCACTCCGCCGTCGCAGGGGCAGCCCCACAGGCACCGCAAGGAGCAGTTCAGTGGCAGACCATCGACATGGCGCAGCTCGCTGCTGCTTATAGACCACCACCTCCAACTCCACCCCCAACGGCAGCAGACCGGGGCAAGGGAAAGAGGCCAGCAGCAAACACTACTGCCTCAGGGAGTTCTTCCAAGAAGTCACGAAGCGACTCCGCTGGACTGGCTTTGGAGAGGATTGCGGACATCCGAGAGCAGAGCTACCAGAGTCGTGTTGCTCAGATGGAAGCAGAGAAGTCTATGGGCCTTGATGCGTGCATGGAGTTGGTGGAAAATGATGGCCATGAAATTGGAGGAAGTGTGTGGTATGCTGCTTGTGCGCTATTCCGTGACCCATTCAACTGCAAATGCTTTGTTCGAATCAAGGACGCCGCTAGGCGCTTGGAATTTATACGCACTGGTGGTACTGGACAGTCATCTGGTGGCACCTGGTAGTTTGTGCACTGTACTTTACTTTGAGTTGTGATGGGCGATGTTTTTCAAATAAACCATTATTTATGTTTAGAACTCAGTGTGCTAACAATTTTTACATTCTGTGAGTCCGTAAACATTTGCGGCTTTATATCCAATTCGAGCAACTACGTATTCCATTGCATTGCTTTTATATCCAAATAATTCTTCGATTGCATAGATCACTGCCATTATTAATTTCTATCCTTTTGATTATGACAAACATTGCCTATTCTTCGGTTCTCATATGTTAAAGGAAATCGGCGATGAGTTACGGCGCGGGTGGATCGAGTTGGAATGGAGGCGGTCACACAAGCAGCGAAGAAGAAGATGCCATCATTGAGTACATGGCTGCTACCCTTGATTTCAATGAGAGGGCACCAAGGAGAATACCGGTGCAAACCGGTATCAGTTGGATGATGGACACGATGGCAAATCGAAGCCAATGCAGGGCAATGTTCAGGCTTACTGCAGAGGAGATACACAATTTGCATGATCTATTGGTCACTTCTTTTGGTCTTGTAGGAACAGCAGGGGTCTGTTCCATGGAAAAGCTTGGTATTTTCTTGTACACGATGGGTGGAAATCGTCCAATCAGAGACGCGAACAATCGGTGGGTCCGCTCCAACTCGACAGTGTCGGTTCACTTCCACCATGTTTTGCAGGCTATGAATGATCTCGCTGGGAAAATATTGAAACCGGTTGATCCCAACTTCTTAGATTACAACCCTCAGATTCTGCAAGAGAATCCTTTCAAGCCTTTCTACCAATCAGTGGGAGCTGTCGATGGCACACATATTCCAGTTCTGCCTAATGCAGCTAGCGCTATGCAACACAGGAACCGTCACCACATAACAACCAGAAATGTTCTAGTAATATGTGATCATGATGGGAGAATTATTTTCTGTGATGCTGGCTGGCCTGGATCAGTTCACGACCAAAGGATTCTCAATGAGGCAGTGCAGGCTTACCCCTACGATTTCCCACGGGTACCGTTAGGTGAGTTGTATCGGTCAATACACTTTTTTTTATTGCCAAATGTCTTGATTTTATTTAATTCTATACATGTGCACTAATATTTAATTATGCGCCGTTAACCAGGCAGGTACCTACTTGTCGACTCCGGATTTCCTACCAGGATGGGCTTCCTTGCACCGTACCCACATGTACGGTACCACAGGGATCAACTTGCGGTCGAGGGAGCCCCGCCACCCGTAGGACGGGAAGAGACTTTCAACCATCGACACTCCACGTTGCGAGGGATCGTGGAAAGACAATTTGGCATCGCAAAAAAGATGTGGAAAATATTGAAAGAAATCCCTTATTACCGAGATGAGGACATCCCTGCACGCATCATTCATGCAGCTTTCGCTCTACACAACTTTAGGTTGGATAGTAAAGATCCGACCTATCGGTTCACTAATGCTCTCTACAACGGCAATCCAGTGCCGCTGCTGAACGATTCATTCGACCATATGTATTACGCAACAAATAGCGAGGCCGCTATGTGCATGTTGCGTGACTGTATTGCTGATGATGCGTACAATAACTACCATTAGGTAGGTGATGTTATCCATAATGCTTGTCGTATGTTCAGTACTTCAATTTTCAGGATTGTATGGTTTACCATTTATTTATGTCCGAATCTTCACATATTATGAAAATTATTATTAAAGAAATCACATGTGTGTGCATATCAAATATTTCTTTCACAATTGGTGCCGCGTAGCAAATATCTCTTTCACCCGCGTAGCAAACACCCATTAATTCGCATGCTACAGTACCTCCACTGCCAGCCCCTGCCCGGCATCGCACGGCACGGCGACGGAAAGTGTCGGCCATAGACGGCGTCCAGGCTGCCGCTTTCAATATTTTCCAGTGTCCCTGACGCCCTGACACTGCTACAGTGGTCTACAGTACTACATGTTCCCAACCCAAAAGTCAAGCTCCGATCCGGCACTTGCGAACGAAAGTGAAATAAAATTGCTCTAGGCAAACTCACCTGTGACGGGCTCTATCTGTAGGGCCGTCACAGGTGACCTCACGGTTGGCGCCCGTCACAGGTGAGGCCACCTGTGACGGCAAACTAGTTGGCGCCCGTCACAGGTGAGTTTGACTAGGCTTGACCTAGGGTTGGACATCGATCCAGATCCGGCACCCACTCTCACTCCACTCTCATCTCTCGACCGCCGCCTCGCCCCTATCGACCTCTCCGCTACCCTCTACGCCCTCCTCTCCACCGCCGCCTCGACCTCTCCACCGCCGCCCTCGCCGCCGCCAAATCCGCCGACCTCTCTGCCGCTCACCCTCTCCGTCGACCTTCCCGACGCCGGCCTGCACCACCACCGCCGCAGTCCATCTCCACCGCCATCTCCACCGTCGCCTCGACCTCTCCGCCGCCCTCCTCTCCACCGCCGCCTCGACCTCTCCGCCGCCCTCCTCTCCACCGCCGCCTCGACCTCTCCGCCGCCATCTCCGCCGCCCTCTCCACCCTCTACACCGCCCTCTGCACTGCTGCCGCCTCACTCACTCTCTCGACCGCCGCCGGGACCTCCTCTTAGTCGCCACGCCAGGACCGTCATCGCCGCCACCGGGACCTCCACGGTGAGCCCACGGCCCCCGCCTCCCCTCGTTTACTATTGGTCGCCGATTAACCCCCTCTTCTCCTCCTCAGCGCCGTCGTGCCAAGAAGCCGCCGCCGCGCCGCCGTGCCGAGAAGCCGTGCGCCGTGCGCCGGCCGGGACTCGTCGTCACCGTGCGCCGCCTCCTCTGCTCGTCGTCTCCTCTCCAAGTACCCCTCTCTCTCTGATGCCGATGAATGGAATGGTGCAGTTAATGCATGAATGAATGATGCAATGGAATGGATGAACGAATGATGAACTTTGGGGAATCCGAGGTTATCAAACCATCACAGAATACAAAATGCATGGGGAATTTTGGTGGATTGGTCAGTGTAGTCCATGGACGGAACCGACCTAGACACCAAAATTCTCCATGCATTTTGTTTTCTGTCATTCTTTGATAATGAAGGAACTTTATTAGGTTTAGGGTTTGAAATTTATATACCCTTGTTGATAGATTGGCCACAGATTACCTACACTTGTTGATTTATATACCCTTGTTGTCTATGAATAGGTGAATTGCATGAATTGTTGTTTATATACATGATTTATATACCCTTGCTGTCTATGAATAGGTGAATTGCATGAATTGCTTTTTATATACATGATTTATATAATTTTTTTTGATGCCTTGCTGTCTATGTTTGCCCATGCTGCTGCCTATGGTTGCCTGTCATTTTGTTTTCTGTCATTCTTTGATGATTTATATACCCTTGCTGCTGCTGCCCAATGTGTTCCTTATTAAATGGCCAGTGATGAATTGCTCAATAAGAACAGATTTTGTGCACTTGCTCTTTTTTTATGCATAAGAACATATTTTCTGCACTTGTTCATTTTTTTATCTACAATAATATATGCATGATTTATATACCACTGCTGTTGTTGCCCCTGTACTTCTTGTTAAATGGCCAAGGATGAATTGCTTAATAACATTCTATCTATACCTGTTATTTTCTTTATGGATAAGAACAGATTATCTACACTTGTTGATTTATATACCCTTGCTGTCTATGTGAATTTCCCTCTGCTGTTGCTGTTTATGTGAATTTCCACCCTGCTGTTGCTGTTTATGTGAATCTCCCCCTGCTGTTGCTGCCCCTGTGGCATATATACCCGTACTGATGTTATATGGCCCTGCTACTGCTCTTATTGCTGCTATTATATGGCCCTGCTACTTGCTCTTTACGCATATGGATAAGAACAGATTACCTACACTTGTTATATTTTCTTTGGGTTGCTTTTTTCTCCTAGTAGCTGATTTCCTCTTTTTATCCCTTCATGCAAATGATTGTAATTGATGCATATTTCTCAGCAAAACTGAGGCCATATCTTTCATAGTATACCCCGTATTACATTGGATCTAATGCTATTTAGTCTAATGGTAGGAAATTTATAATCTTTTTCGCGAAAGTTAAACCATGTCAACGCCCGGCGCAAACCCACCCTCCCCAACACCTGCGAGGGTCCAGGAAGAAGCAAACCCAGCCACAGAGGCAGTTGCCGAAGCTCATCCCGCGACAACGGCGGTCCAACAACACGAAATTCATGGTAATTTATAGGATAAATTTTCACCACATGACCACATAAATTTTAGCTAGCACCCCTTAGCAAATATTGCCTTCTGTTTGTGCTGCAGAATTGCCGCATGAACAACATACGTCGATGTCGGGCGGGACAAGTGCAAGTAGGTCTAGTAGAAATCCGCGGTCACATAATATATGGCCGACCACAGTGCAAGTTATAAGAGAGGTTGACGCTAGTGGTAGGCCCACGGCGCCCAGGACTGTCATTGGAAGATGGTCTAACTGCTGCGGGATAGCGGCACGTGAGAACTTCGGGATCCTCCATAAAGATATCGGGAAGGTCACAGAAGCCGAGAAAGAGCGAGCTTGGACGGCAATGGAGAAATGGTTCACATTTCCAGCCGAAGCAAAGGATAGGCTCAAGCGGAAGGCATTCCAAAAGATGGGCAAAGCTTGGAAGAATTGGAAGTCGAAGCTCTTCACCGAGTTTGTCAACCCGCCCGGCAATCATACGCCGTTCGATGAATACCCTCAAATAACCGAAGCGGTGTGGGAGGAATTCTGCTCTCTCAAGACCACCCAACAGTTTAGGGAATCAAGCGAGGCACATCGCGTACTGCAACAGCGGAATGAGCACCCGCATCGGCTGGGCACCGCAGGGTACATCGGCAAGGAGGCAATATGGGCCCAAGAAGATGCAGCCGCTGCAGCAGCGAATGTCCCTGCCCCGTTTTCAGACATCCCTGAACAAAGAGCTCGCAACTGGGCGCGGGCAAGGGGTAAGGTCAACCCGGACGGCTCTGTCACATTTGAGAACAAAAGTGATGCCGTCGTCTATCAGGAACTGGTGAGTTCACTACTTAACCTAACTAATTTCCGTTCGTATAAAGTACAAGTTCGTATAAACGACTATCTTCTTTTCTAGTTGGGCTTGGTTGCTGAACAAGCTTCACAAAGCGAGGTTGAGTCCGCGCCGAAGAGGCGCGAAGATGACATCCTCACAAAGGCGCTCGGAACCAAAGAACATCCTGGCCGAACTCGGGGAATTGGTAGCGATGTGCCCTGGAAGCATGGACTCCCTCAGTACAGATCCCAATACAGGAAACGGAAAGTCTCCAAGGAAGAGAGGGACGCTCGTTTGAAGGCCGAACTTAAGGTTGAGGTCATTCAAGAACTAGAAGCTAGCATGGATGCAAGGGTGGAAGAAAGGGTTAACAAGGTCCTCGCCGACATGAATATACCCCGAGTCACAACACCTGCTGTGCAACCAACTCCGGGTGTACAACACGACGCGAGTCCGTCACAGCATAGGAGTAGTTGTGCATCCACAGAGGTGCCGGCCCCTGCTCTCCCTATCGCACCACTAGCTGCAGTGGACCACATCGAGGTAATTGTTGTTATCCGATCCATATGTAATAAAAGACATGTACACATTCCAATATTAAATTCAAACTTTCACCTTATGCAGGGCGCAGCACAATGTGTCCTACTAGCGAGAGTCCACCCAACTTTCGCTCCTGAAGTCGCTGAGGGCATGGCTTTCAAGCCCTCGGTTACAGACAAGGTCCACGGCGCAGACCTGCTAGCTGGGTATGCCAAGGTGTCCATCGATACAGTAAAGGACACCTGGTCCGGCTATCCGCTGCCCGTGCCCCCAAATGATGAAATCATGACTTTGGGCGATGCGCGCAAGACGTTCATACAATGGCCCAAAGAAGACATAGTTGTGAAGATGACTCCTCGTCCAAGTCGACCGACGGAGCTTACACCTCCCAAGTCTAAGCTATCAATTGAGGCTCCCCGTGGACCGGCATTGTCAGTACCTCATTCTCCCGGTGGAGCTGATATGGACTTGGCAGATATAGCTCAAAGCTTGGCT